ACATCATTGTAGATGATGCTAGCTACTTGTGGAAGAACAGTTAATAACTTACGTTTCATCGCAGGCTAAGGTATTTGAAATTTCTTAGTTTATTTGATGGATTCATGCAATATCTGATGAAATGCCTTTGATACTCAATATTATATATAAGTAGATATGATAAGAATATTTTTGATTTCTGGAAACATATATTTTTGCTACTGGTTGAGTTTCTTTGGACACTTATAGGAGGCGCAAATTCTGACGGCTTATTAAGGTCCCTAAGGACAAAACAWCCGCAAAAACAGTATCTAGAATTGAACCTTAATTTGCCTAAAGCTTATAGCATTTATATTAGCGAATGTGAAAGTTTGAGTTATTGGTGTTAATAAGCAGCAAAGTTAGTGATACGATACTGTGTGGCGCATAGCTTGGCTAGACTATCCCCAAACGCGTTTCAAGGGTCGACCAAAGGTGCAATCATACCAGGTTCCTCAATCTACACCTAGAATTATCACTGTGAGAAAGGTTGGTCTAGTTGAATTATGGAAGGTTTTATTGAATTGTTTTCAAATGTGTAGAACGTCGGGTTCAGATAAAGCCCATGACTGTATTTCGTTTGTCCAGGCACATACYTTGGCACTAAAATTAGCATTGATATCGGTAACATTATGTGTTTCAGAGTGTTCTGCTTTACTTCCATGTCAATATTAAGCTCGGTCAAGGTGAACCATAATCTATATATTTTCAAAATTAAAGATAGTTCGGTTTCTTTACTAGCTGAACAGCTAAACTCGAATAAGATATAAAAACTTGTAAAATCGGCAACTACAAAACGAATTAATTAACGTCATAATGGCTACAGCTACTGAACTGAATACGCGCGAGGAAAGAAAGAAAGAAGGAAAGAAAGAAAAGAGAAAAAATTAAGCCTGTTTTACAAGAATATCGGTGTTGTAAAGACAAATTGTTACTTAAGTGTCTACAGCTTGAACGTGAGACCTTTCTCCATCTAGCATCAGAAATTCTACGTCAGCCAAATGAAAAAATATAAATATTATTGAAATGATAAATCACGATGAAGCATCGCGCCATTACTTAGTCACACTACGATGAAGCCTCTTTCTTTCTATACTCTTTTCTGTTGTCGTTTTCCTAGTCTGTAACAGCGAGCTTGGCATGCGCACAATACATACCTTCGGTCACGAAAGTTATAGTCACTAGCAAAGAAGTATTTTCGCTATAAATTCAATTTATACCAAAGGGGGAAAAAAAATACTGCCAAAATAAAATTATTAAGTTCTATAGACAAACCTTTTCTTTAGTGCATAGGATTCTTTCGATCGTTAACAAGTGACTTGAAAACATACAATACTTTGCACTCATTATCGACTCTAATCTTGATCAAGAGGCAAATAAACGCAGGTGTAACAGTCACTCTGACCAGCATGCATTTCAATACTCGTTAGACGGGATTACCAATCTGTGTTTTTATTCCCAATCTACGGATACCAACATAAATATTTTTTTGCACTTACAATTTTTTTTTTTATTCTGCTGGGAATAATTTTGTATCTTCTGCGCTATCTTTAAAGTTTCCCATTAACGAGCTGCAAAACAACTACTGACACCATAAGAATAAGCAAATACTCCTTAATCGATAGGTGTTAATTTAAGTATGCTTCGTGAACAAACATGCTTTGTATGAATCGGTTCATCTGATAACAATATTTCATGATCAGCCTATTACTGACAGCCAGATAAAACAGTTTGATTACGCAAATATGCCGTATATTTTATCGCTGGCGCATGCTTCAAAAGGATTCTTTTCTTTTCTTTATTTTGGCGTTAATTTCTCTAGTTCGTGTCATTGCACTGACTATTTTATTGGGTACGAGTCAATCTGGAATGAGTAATATTAATCATAACAGCACTGACAGGAACCAATCATCAACACAGTTCTTGCCACCACGGAGTAAACATGGGTGTTGTTGACACCAGCTATAATTAGATCAAATTCATAACAAGACACTTGAAGCTGGCATTCAGTAGATGATCATTATCCACTGCACGATTCCTTAGGTTTGTTTGTAATTCAAGCACTTAGAACAACCTTCCTCCAGCTTCCTCACAATCCAAAGTAACTCAGTTTCGTATCGTGCAATTTCAGGGCCAAAATATCCTTTCCTCTGAAAAGATTTTATTCTGAAAGGAAATCTTCAAGCTGTATAACAAGCAGGCTTTCCACTACTTCAAGGTTTATATCTGTTTCTGTAAGTACATATTCTATTTATTTCTTACATATCTCATGACCATTGGATTTACATTTGAAAGCATCCCATCCACTTCTATGTTTTTTGTTGCTTCAAAGACATTCAATTTGATGCAGAATTAGGCAAAAAATTGCGGGATCCATAGAGAAACTCCATGGCCGGTTTTCTTTAACCTTCTCTGAACTGTTCAGTCTTAATCATACGATTAGGTATAATGTTGCCATAATCCAATCCAACGTTTAAGATTTAATCATAGTCTCTAGCATTGAAAAGTAGTAAGAATGCTATATCTATAAATTCAAAGAGGAGCCTTAAATTATTCAATGTTATAATCATCATAAACGTTGCGGTTGACCATCTCACAAGAATAAACTTTACTCAACGATATCAAGGTTACCAATTAACCATGTAAAGTCTCTGATTTCCTTGATACCTCCGTCCGATGTGAACGAAAGATAACTGATCAATCACAAGACTGATTGGAGAATGAAACTGATTTTTCGAATAGTAAAGGCTTATTTTCTTTAGGTTTGATCACGGCTCMAAGGATAATTTGTTTCTTGACCCGTGGCTATTTGATTTACACGATGTTTTGCTCAGCAGGATAACATGTAGTTCACTTAGGCAAATAAATATATCACGTATTTATATAAAAAAACAGTATCATTAAAAAAGATATTTTGCGGAAAAACGGCTCCAGAATAATAAAATCAATTAAGAATAACCCTAAGTTTAGATTTACTAATACTGAAAACGTAGAAAATGGTATTTTCGATGGATAAATTGCAGCATCTTGAAGCCAAGGCGTTATGATAGAAACACATGTTTAGTCCTTCCTTTTATTTAACCGAACACAGACCTTTTAAACCACTGTCGACCTCTCTTAGAAATTACTTCTTGAATATTTATCCAAGTACATTTAGCAATAAATACTTTATTTGTGGCATAATATCAATTTGTGGGTACAGAGCTGCTGGTAATAGTGGCATTAGGAGAAATCATTATCACCTCTTTATAGTTATCTATAGAGGAATATGTGTGAAGAATTTTGGCTAATAATGAGTCAACGCTGAAGTGGGTCGTTTTATCCAGCTTAATTATTACCTCTCCAAACAAGATGACCTCACGTTTTTATGATTAATAGCTTGTTCACCTTTTCTTTAGTTCGATGACTATGAGGAAAGGCCTTTTAATATGAGGGCAACTGAAACGTTTTGTTTTGCAGTGTCATTTGCAAAAAAACTATCCAAATTATTTACTCCTATTTTTAAGAGATTCGTTTCGTCCGGTCTTGTTCCGTGATTGGTATTATATTCAACGTAACCTATTTTGTTTAAGAAAAACTTGACAATAGCATTTATGTCATTGCTACGCAGATCTCAATGTCACGATCAACTTCGCTTGTTCTCTATTCTTTGTTCTCACATGACTTCATAACCGCCATCTTGGTTGAATTTAAACCAATCAACATGGCCACCGCCGTCTATCGTTATTTCACTCCCTTTGGAATGATTGAAAATCAGAAATCCACAGTTTCTGAAATATGTAAATAGAAAAATTGAAGTTTTTAATCGGATCTCCGCCCACCTTTAATCAAAATATGGCTGCAATGCCTTACGAGTAGTCAATAAAAACATTCTTTTTCTTAATCTTTTAAATAAGACTCAACACGATCGAACTTTGAAAAACACAAGTTGACACAATAAATATTATTGCAAAGAGGACGAGAACCTACAAAGCTGCTAATGGTTTGGGACAGATGCTATTATACAATATCTAAACACTTCCACTCCCCTTCATCCGTGCTTTTAGGCTATAGACATGATTTTAAGGTAGACATACTTGAATACTCACTTAAACTTCATACTTCCGAAGTGGGATTACTTATTATTCTYATGGGATTACTTGAAGTTCTGATTTTAGAAGTATTTAAGAAGGTTAACCTTTTAAGTAGCCATGAAGTTTTCATATGGACGCTAACGATAAGAACATCTGAACACTACCAGTTGGAKTGCGACTTAAAAGCAACATATATTGCGTTATACAGATATTTCCTACACTGACTGGGGGAAAGCTAAAAGCCATGTCAACAGATTAAATAAYTCTACCTTCAAAACTTGTCCGAATCAAAAGGCAATTGGCGTGCAGAATAAAGTGATCTTCATAGGACGTTTTGGCTGCAAACGATTGAGCCTTCATTACAGAATTTTGTGCCAACGTTTTGATACCTTTCAGCAAGGCAAAGTTATGATTTCTAAACGGAATGGAATTTCAAATGAAAATGTGGAAGTAAGAGATGATAAAGTTCGTTTATCTCGAAAAAACCTTCTGGCTATGATTGCGCTAAGCGAAAAGCTCTTAAAACGATACTTTATAAAACGATTTTTGTCTTTACTTTATGAATGCAGATGTATTCCATCACTCAGTCAAGATCCTTCTGTTATACGCTATGTTGATGGCAATTGCTTCCTAAACGTTATCGAGTACCTAAAGGCACGCAGGTCATTGGCTTGTCTATAAGGGTCAAAAGTCGCTAGTCTTTTCTGACAGCTTTATTTTCACCCACTTTCTTTAAGTGTATCAGAACACATTTGTCTTAGTCTTGGATTTCTTCTTGATTTCTTCTTGATTTCTTACAGGATCCTCAAGGACATAAGTGACAAATAGAAACCACTTCTGAAAACTTTGACTGAAAAGGATTATTTAAAAAGACGTTCTACAAACGGAAACGAAAAAAAAATGGCGTCTTCAAACGAAATGGGCAACTCTTCAACCAACTCGTCAACCTTAGGTTTAGGACCTGAGAACATCGTTGGAGCGATTTTCGTTGGATTGCTGATGCTTGCAACCTTGTTTGGTAACTTCTTGGTGTGGGCTAGCTTTATTACATTTCGAGAGCTAAGAACAAAGTGTAACTACTTCATAATAAGTTTAGCGGTTGCTGACATCATGGTTGCGTTGCTTGCTATGCCATTTTGGTTCATTTTGCAACTGGAGCCTGACTTGAAGAACTCAAAAATATTGGATCAACGATCGATGCAGTTTTGGAATTGCATTGACATTCTTTGCGGAACTGCCTCTATAATGAATCTATTAGCAGTGAGCGGTGACCGCCATCTTGCCATAACAGCACCCTATAAATACCACGAGTTCTTGACGTCATTGAGAGCGATCGTGATCATTTGCTTCGTATGGATTTACGCAGTTACTATTTCTTTGCTGAACCTTGCAAAGTTCAAAATTCCAAATAATGGCTACCATTACTTGGTGTCAACCACTAGCTTGATACTACCATTGGTGGCTATGATTATCATGTACGCACGGATTTATATGGTTGCGAGGCGACAAGCTCGCATGATCAACCTCCATCAGAATTACAAAACAGATATTAAAGCTGCGAAGACTATTGCTGTCGTGATTGGAGCATTCGTCGTATGTTGGCTTCCGTTTTTCGTAATGATTATTGGATATGCTGTTGATCAGAATTTTATCAGTGACCCTCACTTTAAGGTTCTTAGAGCCATAAAATGGATGGAATATCTGAACAGTTGTTTAAATCCTATTATCTATTGTTGTCTAAACCGTACCTACCGAGGCGCATTTAAAAGACTTTTTAAAAAGTGGCGAAAAGCTTTGTTGCGGCTGTTTTTTTCCAAATACCAAGAAGACAACGAAGATGATAAYTTCAATACTACTCTTAATAAAACCCAGAAGACCCCTATATTGGGCAAGTCTAGTGAAGACTCCGGCAACAATTTGACTCATGTTAACRAAAATGGCAATCATTTAAGGAAAGAACTCTTGGAGTCCAATGCAAATGGTGTTCACAAGCAGACCCAGGTTTAAAAGTCAAATTGCATGTACTGTATTGGATGGCTCTTCAATTGGAATTGAAGCTGTGTAAAACTACTTGAGTGAGGTATCTCTAGCTACTAATAGAACATGCTGGTATATTACTTGATTGCAAAGTGTTTTGCAGYCTTAAGGTTTAAGAAATATAATATTATCAACACTGAGAGCACTACTTACATCCTTAAATTTATCATATTACAAGAAAAGCAAGCAAGGAAGCGAGGCGAGCTTGATTTTATTCTTCACATTTTACTGCGTATACTACGATTAAGTAAAAGATTAAAACGTGACTACGACAAGCTGTACTCAAGAAACTATGTACACTTAGACACACCAAAGTTATAATTATTGGTGATGAGCGGCTTTGAGATCTAATTAGCCTGCGTAGCCGGTCCTCTTTTTGGCCGGCTACGCAGGCTAAGATCTAATCGACCCAATTGATCAAGCGTCAGATATCATCACAGGAAGTAAATAACAGCTAGAATACTTAATTTGTGTGTGCGTGTGCACGGTGTACAAGGGAGGAGGGGGGGGGGGGGTTGAAGTCGCTTTCATAAACCCTCCCCCAGTAGATTAAGATTGCCTCCCGTGGACAATCAATAGAGATTGGACTTGATAACACACAGTAAATGTATAAGTACTCAAAGTCGGTCCAACCTAATTCACTAAAGCRAATTTGCAAACGTTTCTTGAGACTTTGATATGACACTTTAGACGTTGGATGAAGTGGTCATTATTTTTAACGGCAGCACTGGATACGCTGCACGTCTTTATTTTGGTACAGGTAATATACGCATATCGAAAAATGGCGGGAAGCCATCGAGGCATGTAAAGACCTTGTAAATGCTGTCATGAGGTGCACCACTAATTTAGTTTCATAAATTGTTTATTGATTTTCATGGTAAATCAGTGAAGTAAATCGGTCAAGTGGTGAAACTCTTGCTACGGGTATACTAATTTCAGTATAAATATAATACCTTTAACGTAAGTTAGCATGTCACGAATTTTATAAAACGAAGACTCGCTTTAGTACTAAATTCCATTCCATTTCTCTTTCTTGAAATGTTAACATGTGTAGTATAATTTATTGAGATCAGGTTATATATATATATATATACTGGTAAAAATTAAAATAAAATCTCAAGACACAGTTAAAACTATAAAAACCTCTCATTATAATCACTCAACTCTCAAAAGTTATTCGCCTTTTCCGGCCTAAAAGGAAGACTGGTAACGACTGCCTCGCAAATAAGATTGTTGGAATGCATTTTAAACTATTAGATCGAAAAGTTCCGCCCTCGCTTCCCCAGATTCAGCTGCGGAACATGATGTATGCGAATTATGATCCATTTATTTTGCTTTATCATTTTTGCTTTTGTCTTTATATATTTCCTCCTTTTCCTCCTACTTTTCATTCAGTCATACAATCATTTTCCTATCATTGCCGCCTTMATCATCCACAACGGATCGAATACCGACACGTATTGGAATAACTAACCGCTGATTGAAATCCCCATATTTCTTTTTGGCTTTCGGTTTTGCGTATCAACTCACACGGCTTACAYGATGTGAGGTCAAGTTCATGTCGAAGAATACAACACGAGACGCTGATAAACTAAGAAGTTATCTTTAACCCTCGTCTGCTATTGATAGGACAACCAATGTCAGTGAAAAATCATTTAACTTCAGATAGGATATCGGGACACTTTATCTGGAGATTCGCAGGCAGCACGCTTGCGTAAACCTTTGTCCTCTACCGGCACTGTGAATAAAGATACCTCGTGATCGCACGTTTAAAACTTTAGGTAGTATAGCTTTCCTGAATCTCTGGGGCAAGATAGTCATTGTTTAGTTTAATTAGTCCAGTGTTCTGTGGTTTCCTCAATCACTGTCATTAGGCTTGTACAAAATGCATAGTATAACGTTAGGCACTAATTATTTGGTATTGTAATTGATAGTCAGTCGGATTAGTAGTTACAAAGTCAGCAATGGTGAGAATGTCAACTATTCACACTTATTAAAGCCTGCTCAATATGATGAGCTAATAGTTTTTTAACTGGGAGGTCGGAACAGCTTGACTTCGACGATTTAAAGGTACATGTCCGCCTAATTCATTCATTAGATTATATTTTGCCGTTTAAATTAAACAGCAGCTGGGCCAGGGAAACGGGCGTGGCTTAGCAGATAGGAGGATCGCAAAGTTAAAGTCAAACACTGAAATAGTTTAGCCTAGAATATCACTTCGAAAGATCGATTTCAGGACGCCTCGGGGCAGTTTATTCAAAGCAACGACAATCTCGATTTCCCTGTAGATAAGCATGCAATTAATCTTAATTCTGAACTACGTCAAACATTGAAGTTACATGATGAATTTTATGCTAATTATGCTACCTTCAAATATTATTTCAAAGTAATCTCAGCATATTTAGGCAAATAACACTTGAAGAGAGTCAAGTTCTGTATTCGGATGTTATGATAGATATCAGTCTGGATTATATTAAGGTTATCTCTCGTTAATCTGTAGTACTTGAATGTCTTCATTTGTTCCTGACTGAAGTCAAGTGTAGGTGCTTCAGTGCCCTGAATAAGCGTTACTCAAGTGCTGATTACAACATTTAAAATTTCGTAAAACAATCCTCACGCCTTTTCAGTCAAAACTATAGCTCAGGTCTAAACTATAGGCTCAAGTCTAAAATAGTACTAAATAATTTTTAAAACCGGTGCACCACGCCAAAGTAATCCTTTCTGTGTTCATTACATTTTTGAGGGGCAAGGGGGTGGGGGGAAAGAGGGGGTTGTCAGCGCCCGAAGCTGTATTGAAAGTACTGAGTGTGTCATTCGATCTAGCCAAGTAAACTGGTATCAAAGTAGACAAGCAAGTCTTTTTTGCATGCACCTCATATCTTTGGCCATTTTAAAAGTCAAGTAACCTTAATCGGAGTTATATTGGATCTAAACGTTAGATTTTTATAGCGCATTATACGTCAATAACTCAGTGATAAATAACGTTTGAGTACTATCAACTTAACACACACCTGTTATGACGGAATAGTTTTCCATGGACATATATATATACTTCACCGGTTATTACAACACAAAGCGCAAACGTATGACCCCGTGTATTCGCATAATTCTATGCACGGGTTTYGTACGTCAAACCGACACATTTCGATGCGAAGCTGGCTGGTGTTTAGTTGTTCTAGCGCTTTCGCACCAGTTGGCGACACTTTTTCACTCACACACACTATCGCTACATTTGACCTCAGTTTTATTTTCRTGTAGCATTTCAAAAGTAAAAAATAAGGATAAGATAGTGATGACATTGTATTTGAACAGCTAGGGGAGCCATGTTTCTGGAACATTTTCAATGAGGCCCTGTGTATTGCTAAGGGTTGGACTGATTTTTTTTAGTGTAATTTCTTTCTTCTATT